TGCTGTGTAACTGTAACATGAACCCTTCAGTGTATTTTTGGTAGAACAGTGACTATAAAGGTAAATCACATGCAGGTCGTGTGTGGACGTGTTGTTTGCAGTCAGATGAACAAAGGAGGTGCAGCAGACTCATCACTTTATCTGCTCCTGTAATCAGGCAGCTGCTGCCGTCGCTATCAACGTTAGCATCGACGTGAAAGAGGCCAAAACCGAACGCGCCCCGTCTGTCATTTTATCCTCGAGCCACAAAATATTGCTCACCGACGTTTTCTTTAAAATGTACTCGGAGACGGTCAGAAAACCAGCATCGGTTTTATGTTAACAGACACCAGAACTGCCCCATTTAGAAAAGGTGTTTCTTGAAAGGCGTCGGTCGGGATGTGAAGCTCGTTCTAACCCTACAAGCTGACATTAAACCAGTTGGAAACCATTTGCTGTCCAATGTGAACCTGTGTGATGTGGAAACAGGAGGAGGTTGAAGAGTTCTTCTGGACTGGTCAGTAAAGGAGAAGAAAGTTTAATGTAAAAAAAAAGAAAATCACGTGTTTTCATGTCTTTAACCCTTAGAGGTCTGGGACAGTTTTTGCATACTTTATTCTTTCTATACTACATAAAACTTGTCCACCGTGCTCATGTTTGGTATCTTTCTTTTCAGCACAACATCCCCGATGTGACCTGACTGTTATTTTTTCACTTTAACCAACTTTATTAACATTTTGGGCTCAAAAACACACAAAAAATACAAAATCCGATGTGAAGAAATGAATTATTTATTACAATAAAAACCACAAACATGCTTAAAACACGTTCTAGGTGATCTTTAACATCTATTTTTTATCCAAACCTTTATCAAGGACATTAGAACATATATCTACAAAACAAACAGAAAAATCAAAGTTCTCATATTTCTATTCAGTTCATTTCTGACTGATTTGTGGAGACTTTGTATGAAAATGCAAAGAACGGATCTTCATTCTATATTTCACTCCACGTTTGAAATAGTTGGTTTCACTTATAAATTCCTCAAATATTTGGCACAAGAAACACCTTCAGCGCTACAGCACACCGCCCTCCTCTGTCCTAAAATCAAACCTCTTCTGAATCACTTCCCTCTTCCTATGTAGAAAAAAATAAAACAGAAAAACAGAAAACGTGTCCGTCTGATGTGCTGGAGTGAATCTAAATAAATGTGGAATTAGTTGTTGCCCTTTAATTACCTGCTCAGGAGGCAATATTGGCAGATGCAAACTAGAGCGTACCACTCGTTTAAACGGACCCTTTTTTATGTCAAAAAAAAAAAGGAACGATTTTTAGTCTTTCATTCTTGAAATTCTTAATCTTGCTGATAAAGGCTTTAATGGATATGAACAGGCCTTTCAGCATCAAGGACTTCTTTAGTTCAATTGTTCACTTATTGCAAAAGAATTCATTTTTTTATTCAGCTTTAAAAAAAAAAAAAGTTAATGGAGGCGTAGCACTCTAAGCTGTGGGCGCATTCCTCAACTGTTTTCAACATAACATAAAAAAAAAAAAAAGAATTTTGCTTTTAAGAGAGACTAAAGAGGAGACAGAGACATTCCTATTTATTATGTGCTTTATTAACCAGGAGTTATTACAGTTACAGGAGGTGCAGCGCCGAGACGCACAGGTCGCTGCACCGAAACAGATTGTACCTCTGGAGATATTCTGTGATTCATGATTAGCTACGACCGTTTATCTTGTGCGGTTCGGAGACTTTTGTTGTTGGCTGATGTTCTTTTAATGAATTCAGACGGACTGTGTTGTTTGTGTCGGACGTTTTAGAGTCAGAAGTCGCTGACAACACGCACGCTTAGTGGTTAAAAAGCAACACCGCAGCACAGGAAGAATTGCTCAAGAGCACAAGAAAAACATGAATTACAGACAGCATTAATGATACACGTGTTTAGAAAATCATACTATTAATAATTCTCAGTCCTGAGTGTGTGACGCCTCCCTCCTCTGGCAGCCTCTACATGAAAAACAAAAGGAGAAATCTGGTTGTTTTTTAAGTTGGACTGATATTGATTAAAGACTTATTTGGTGCCATTAAAGATCCTAATGATGTTACATCCAATACTGACAGCATAATCAATTCATTAAAAGGTTTATAGCAAAAAAAAAAGAGAGAAAAAAAACGCTGCTTTCACTCAGTTAATTTTAAGTGAATCATGTTGTATCTCTGAAAAGATCTCAGTCCTTTGATTTAAGTGGATTAACAGCTAAATCTGTTTTTGTGTCACATATACGGTGGCACTTACAGGATTTAATCATATTAAATGGAAGGAAAATAAGCATATCTTGTTATAGAATAAGCTTTAAACTTGTCTGAGGACCAGGATTTGATTTAGTTGCAGTGATTCGTCAGTTTGTTGACAATCACAAGGAGGTTTTTTTGTTGAATTTGGTTCTCTGCAAAACACTACAAACGACACAAACCACACGTCTTCATGCCAGAACGCACAACCAGTGAGCCATGCTGTTGTTATCGGAGTCCAAGTAGCGTTACTTAAATACGTTAGTGGAGGTTTCTTTTCCTAAATCTAATTAATCAAAGTGAAAGAGGTGTAGGTGTCAGAAGAGTCTAGTGTCTAGATTCAGGATGTTTTAAGAACTGAAATTGTCCTCGAAGCTTCTAACACGACGTAGACGAACTGTTTTAATATTCGGTTGCTTGAGAGGAAGCAGAGAAACGTCACAGATGTTTTAAAAAGCAGGGATTAGACCTGCTAGTCCTGAAACTCCTCTAAAAGGTTCTATAACGAAGCTTTGTTTGGAAGGATTAGGGGCTGCAAGGTGGCTCGGTGGTTAGCATCGTTGCCTCGCAAGGTTGCTGGTTCGCGTCCTGGTGAGGACACCTGTGGAGTCTCCACAAATGAATAAAGCTGATTCTGATACGAGCAGAGTTTGAGCCATGACAGTAGACGATGCTTCAAAGTTTTTCAAAGTTCAAAGTTGTTGTTTCAAAGACAAACTCTAAAACTAGATCTTCAACCTGGGCTGCAGGGTGGCTCGGTGGTTAGCATCGTTGCCTCACAGCTAGAAGGTCGCCAGTTCGTGTCCCGGTGAGGACTGCATGGAGTCTCCATGTTCTCCCCGTGCAGCGTGGGTTCTCTCCGGGTTCTCCGGCTTCCTCCCACAGTCCAGAAACATGTTGAGGTTAATTGGTGATTGTAAATTGTCCGTAGGTGTGAATGTGAGTGTGCTCGGTTGTCTGTCTCTAAGTGTAGCCCTGTGATAGACTGGTTACCTGTCCAGGTGAACCTGCCTTCACCCTGAGTCAACTGGGATAGACTCCAGCCCCCCATGACCCTGGTGAGGATTAAGCGGTGTATAGATGATGGATGGATGGATGGAAGCTGCTCGGTGTGATCACAGCTCTGATCTGAAACATCAGGAGCTCACAGTGATGAAACTTGTGCTCTTCTGCTTTAAGGCCTCCGCTGCCCAGATTGTTAGAACATAATGGACAACTTTTGGATTTTTCTACGGTTCCTGTAAAACTCAGCGGCTCAGCAGTCTGTTGTTTTCCTTTCCTCCACCCTGTGAATGAACCCTGCAGCAGGGCTTTGGGTGTCTGTCTGCGGTTTGGCAGACAACTTGCTGATTTCACCATTAACAGGATTTTTCCGGACCTTGCAACTCAACAGGCGAGTTTGACGGCGAACCAAACCGCGGGACCACCGACGGCTCCGTCAGCTGTGTTATACTGGTGGAGCACAAGCTGCCGGCGTCCAGCGCAGGTCTGCTCAGCTCATTTCTTCTCCATTTCCTAATTTGTAGTCTTCTGACTCAGCCGAGTGTCATCATTCAAGGGTTTAGGTTTTCTTTGTGTCCCTCTGGAGCCACAAAAGAAGACTTTTTCACATTCCCCAACACCTGCGGACAGACTTTGATGCGCCTTTAAAACGAATCTTCAGCTCACTGAAGATATTTCAGCATAATAAACTGTTGAATCTCAACTCAAGGTCCCTCAAGTACAGAGCTGTTAGAGCACATATTCATTCTATTTTTTTTCCCCTCAGAACTTCAAGACTACTTATGCATACTGGCTTTGAATTTAAACTTCATTCTTGACCTTGAGAACAGTAATATTTTTTAACATTTACATCCGCCGCGGGATGTTTTGTGATCCGACTAAAAAGCTCCGTAACAGTCGCCGACCTGGACCTCGAGGTCAGCGATTCAGTTCAGTCATGAGCTTGATAATCTGACTGAGCTACCATTTAGCTCCACTTCAATATTCATACCGTGGGCCGAAGTTTCAAACCACACGAGTTAGTTCATTCCCCAAACAGCTGAAGGATCGGTGACAAACACTGAAGCAGTTCATTAGTCACGAGCTTAGTGTAGCCTGAGTGTCACTTCAAAGGGGAAAAAAAATCATTATTTCAGCTCTCAAAGACGTCGTTCAGTCGTATCAGACACTCTGCATCGGTTATTTATCAGCAGCATCTGCAGCTACGCGACCATGCAGGCCATCACCTTCAAAACGTCATTTCTCCGAACCATCCGGCCGCCTCGCAAGCTTCATAAAAGGCATCAACTGAGGAAAAAGAAGAAACGTGATCTAAAACCACTGTAAAATAAAACCAGCTGGATGCACAGCAAAAAGTAGAAAATGTTTATGAGAACAAAACAAAAAAATACTGACATTCATGGTGAAGAGAAGAGACACAGATGCACGACTTTAACACGTCGCACAAGTCCAGTTAGTGTGAGAACAGTAAAACACCCACGTTTAGCTCAAACATTAGGTAGCTGATTACACAATGCTGTAAACATTCTCATCAAATGATTTTTTTTTTTTGTTTAAATTAAAGAAAACCAAAACTCTGCCGCTCCAAAGTGCTTCGTGAGCATCATTAGAATCGAGAGGTTCATCCAACGGCGAGGGCGGCGAGCACATTCACAGCACGCTCACCGCTCCGGCCGTCTACAGCAAACATTAGAAGATTTCAACTGTCTAACACGTAATCGTCCATATTGGTGCATGAAAACTAAACCTGAAGGGTCGGGGTGTCTCTTCTTCCCTTCAACAGTAGATGGCAGCAAAGTAGAACCAAATACTCGGCAGCATTTAGCACAAGTCCACAGTATCAGAGAGTCTTTGGTTGGTATGCTTCAAAAAAAACAATCAATAAAAAACAACTCAAGAGAGTAAACGTAATAGACAAGTTGTAGATATGCCTATTAGGAATAAAAACAGGCAGGAGCACAATCTGCATAGAAAACCTGCCCGGCGGTCGGACCAGGCGTTTGTCCGACGTGACGTCGACGAGGCAGCTCTCAAAGATAAAGTGCATCAAGTTCGTCAGTCACAACCCGAGATAAGGACTTTAAAGTTCTACAGCAATGATGATTCTAAAGTCTATAATGCACTGACGGTTTTAGTTATTTGCATTCTAATTACTTCTAACCAGTTTATTTAATTCATTATAGCGCTACAAGTCTTGTATTTTCCACGTAAAACCGGCTGCGCTAATATTTGGCGGACAAGCAAACTGCACAAAGCTGCACCAGCAGCTTACAGTGTCTCTTCTTTGGCCGACGCACGAGAACGTCGCTAGCAGGTCTACCTACAGTGTCATCCATAAAAGGTGAGTAAACGTTAGGAAGGTGCTTGTGCACGTTTACAAACGGTAAAATGACGAAAACACTCCAGCTAATGTGCACCTTAGCCAAGGATTTAATGCCACTCGGAGTCATTTTCAAGGGTTAAACATGAACGGCTGAGCGTCTAGATGAGCCTGTGTCCGATGTGCTCCTGCAGCCAGAGCAGCAGAGGCCGGAAAGAGCTCGGCTCGTCGGCCTCCGTGTACATCTGCTGCAGTACCTCTTGCAAAACAAACAGCAGGGGCAAGCTCATGCTCAGTAGCTCATACAGAGACGCGTAGTCCTGGGCGTTGTCCCTCAGGTGGCCGACGAAGGCCTGCGCCGCGGTGCGCACACGGCGGGAAAGATACCAGGGAGCGTTAACCACAGCACGCGTCACACTCAGAGGCCCGCTCAGCTTTTTCCTCATGAACGAGCTGAAGGTACCTGCAGCAGGTTCACTCTGCAGGTCTGTCGGGGAGCCGGACGGGGAGCTCTCCTCATCAGCGGCACATCGATCCTGAACTGCAGAACGATTCTGAGACAGAGGAGGAGAACATTAGAGAATTTACAGGAGTTATTGTCAGAACAGGATGAATAAAGACGTACGGTACTCACCGAGCGGAAAGACAGATTCCTCCGCAGGTTCGTCCCACTGTTGCGTTGATCAAAGTGAAGCTTGCAGTAAAGTTTCCCTGTGAGATTACAGCGAGAGTTAGAGCCGATGTTCACGTTGTGTATCTGATAAGTGGCTCCTCTGTTTGATACGTACCCTCTTCGGAGTGGAAGGCCTGGGCTCCCTGTCGCAGTGCACAGCTGCAGGTGGAGCAGCGGAAACACTCCCTGTGGAAGTAGAGCCCCTCAGCGCAGACCCTCTCCACCATATAGACCCGCTTCTCACACGAGTGACACTTATCACCCGACTGAGGAAACAGCCTTCGAGCTGAGCCGCCCTGAAAACAGGAGAGAAAAAAATAAAGTCACGACTGCAGGTTGAAGACGAACGCTAACGTCAGACATCTCGTTATAACTGACCAATGATCCTCGGCTTCCATCGCACTGATCACTTCCTGTTAACCTGACCCACAAAATTAAATATTAACAGCAACACAAGGCCACGGAAACAGCTGCACAACACATCTGGAAATGTAAACTACTGCTGGCTGTCAACAGTCAAAATATTTAAACCATTTGTTTCACAAAAACATTCGTCAAAACCTTTGTAATATGGGTTTTGTGAATATTCCATCCATCCATTATCTATACACCACTTAATCCTCACCAGGGTCATGGGGGGCTGGAGTCTATCCCAGCTGACTCAGGGTGAAGGCAGGTTCACCTGGACAGGTAACCAGTCTATCACAGGGCTACACTTAGAGACAGACAACCAAGCACACTCACATTCACACCTACGGACAATTTACAATCACCAATTAACCTCAGCGTGTTTCTGGACTGTGGGAGGAAGCCGGAGAACCCGGAGAGAACCCACGCTGCACGGGGAGAACATGGAGACTCCACACAGGGTGTCCTCACCGGGATGCGAACCGGCGACCTTCTAGCTGCATCGAGCAACCTTGCAGCCCTTTGTGAATATTTAATATGTGTAATCTATTTTTCTTCTCTATTCACTTTTACACTTTTAATCTTTAATCTCATTGTCCCAAAGTCTAAACAGATTTGTTTTCTTCAGGAATCATATTTAGTCCACATTTAATCACACGGGTCATGACTGTGCACCAGCAGTAGTTTCTCTAAACGTAAGCGTAAGTTCTGTGGCAACATCTGGCCGTGGAGCTGCAGCAGCCTGTTTGGGACGGGTGGAGCAGAGAAACCCACAAAGTGCCACCGCAAGAACACCCACTGCTCCTCTGTGAGGCGTGCTGCTAATTAGAAGCACAAGGGGCAGAAACAGCAGTTAAAGCAAAGCACAACGCCTTCGCATTAATCCGTGTGATGTAATTAAGACAATACGAGACAACGACGGGACAGATGTCGGGCTACGAGGGCTTCTCACTCTGTTTTATTAGAACAAAGCCTCTTTCTGTCAGCAGGATTTCTGGTATTCAGGTATTAGACACAAAATTAAACTACCGAACAAGGGAGAGAACTGCATGCAGCCACTGGTGACGTGTTGCCACATGCACAAAACACACCGTGCGAGGCTGGTAGTGCAAAACACAAAAGCGTGGAGGTCACAGGTCAAGCTTGAGATATTCACCTTGAGTACAGCAGAGGCGTCTGCTGAGAACAAGCCACTAAGGTGAACGGCTTTTTCCTTTATACTCTTTGCGTGAAACTCTCTAACCTGTTGTGTCTGAGCTTTTCTCTGCAGGATGACACGGAACAAAAGGAAAAAAGTCATCAGTCTCGCTTCCTCGGCACAGTGAGACACATTCAGCCGCCGACAAATGTGTGTCGCCCAGACATAATTAGGTAGACTAATAACCAGTTAATAAGCGCCGCGCGGCTAAATGATGAAAGAGCTTTTCTGTTCTACTTTCTCAATAAGAAGCAGGATTTGACAGCTAAGTGTGCATTGTCGAGAGCAGAACAATAACGTCGGCTGTGTGGAAAGAAAGCTGCCTTATTACATTAATTTCACACCCGACTTGATGTGGTTAATCATACCGCACTGGAACGGAAAGCTGAGACAGCCACGCAGTCCTGGCACAGGAATCAGAGGCGAGTGTGTCGGTTTAACCAGAGTCACATTTTAGAGCACTTAGCGAAAAGGATAATCACTGAACTTTAGAGTAAAGCTACGCACAAAGTCGGATCATCTGGATGCTGATATACAGGTGTGGGAAACAAAAAAGGAACAGTTCACTTATTTGCTTTTTTATTTGAGGATTTCAACATTTTAGGATAATCAGCACTGGTTGGTTAACAGAGGGTTGGCTAACTGGGGTTATATTGGGTCAATCTGCTACCAGGGTGTGGCTCGCTAGCACAGCTAATGGGTTTGGAAATGTGAGACATCAGCAGTAGGAGATGCACTAAAAGAGAACAAATGTTTATCTACCCAACATGGATATAAAAGGCAATGCTACTGATGTCATCAAAACAGTAAAAACACAGAGTTAGCTTTATTGGCCATCCACATTTCTTTGTCTGGACTCTGTATTTTAAGGATTTACAGTCGTGACTCGATAATCCGACACTAAATGTAAAACCTTCTTCTATGTCGGACTGTCAGGACGGAGGTCCAGATACAAGGAGGGCTTGATGCTGGAAGGCTCATTAGTTGTTCATTATTGTTCATAGTTGTTATAATAACTAGTAGGGCTGGTCCCAATAGAACTTTCTGGTCTCTGGATATTCAGGCCCAATTAATGGTGAATATCTGAATATTTGGCGCCGTTGGGGGACACTTCCACCCCGGGGGAGTGCTCCAATGGGGTGGAAGTGGTCAGAACGCACACATCCATGTTTACTTCCATAAACACTGAGCACGCTCGCTGCGTGTGACGTCGTCGTGTCCTCTTCTGCGCATGCGGGACACTTTTGGCTCGTATGAAGTTCACACAGCAGATCACATACAAGTCGCATTGAACTGGAAACGTGAAGGAACTCACAAAGAAATCCTCATTGAGCATCAAGTCCTGCAGTGTGAACGTAGCCAATCTGTGGGATTGTTCAGTCAGATAATACGCCGTCATCCTGATTGGTGACATTAAATGTCATGTCGGAGTCAGAATCCAAGGCTGTCGCTATGTTAAGGCTGTTTTTATGGGTTCTGTTGGTTTTTCCTAAAAACCTGTCGGATAGCAGGTTTAGGATTGTTAAGGGTCGATTATCGAGTCACAACTGTTTTCTCAAAACGGATAAATTTGAAGCTAAAATATTTCACACATTCCGATATTTCTGATCCAAAAACTTCAGCTCTACACTAAATAATTCGATGACCAGTTTCACAGTCCTGGACTGAGCCGATGCAGGCAGGCAACTTGGCAAATTTGAATAATAAAAAAAACAAGAAGCTTATTTTGCAGACGTAGGCCTGTGCCTGCAGCCCGGTCCTGGCCAACCTGTCCCACAAGGACCCAGACAGGCCAATAATCTGCCTGTGTGTCCGTCTCAGCTCGTGCCAGCTCTGTAGGCCTGCTCTTGCCATTTTTGTCAGGCTGGATAATTAGGGTCTGACTTCACCATCTGACTGCACATTACACAAGCCTAAATGTATAATCAGGACATAATATATAATCAACATTCACTCTGGGGCCTTTCGGGGGGATCGGAACATGCCGGTAGCTCAGAAAGAGGAAAACAGACAGAAGTCAAAGACACAAAGGAGGAAGAGGAGGAGGCGGCGTTCACCTCAGAGACGTGCTCGTCCACCTCCCTGAGGCGATGGAGGATTCTTGACATGAAATGGATTGCAGAGTGGCAGGAGGGAGGCGAGGCGGGGGGCTCTGCGCTTTCAGGCTGAGGCTTCGTCTCAGCGAGCGTTTGCTCAACGTGTCTGAGGTTCGCTACAGAAAACGGATGCTGGGGCTGGAGCTGGGCTTTGGCCAGAGTCTTTGGAGGCAGGCGGACTAACTGCTCCGCTGCTTTTCTGATACTCACTTCAAACTGGAAGGGGACAACACACATGTGAGCTCTCATAACTCCACATCAAGCAACCAAATAAAGTTCTGCTCACTCGCTGAGACACTTTGAAGAATCATGCAGGTGGCGTTTTAGTCGATTAACTGCAAATGACTAACGCTTCAAAATGTTGGCAGCCATTTTCAAAGAATAGCAAGTTTTCAGGTTGATCTCCTGCCCTCTTGGCAGACGTTAGTCATGCAGGCGCAGCATGAAGAAATCAACCTGAATAGGTAATCCATTACAGGGTCTGTCTGCCTTATGTTTTCCCAAAGTTATGTAATGATCTCATGGTAATGCAGCTGTGAGCAGAAACTGTTTTTACATCTTCTTTTTTTTTCTCGTGGCCGTTTGACATCTAACAGCTACATCTGAATGGAAGAAATTCATTAACAATGATCTTCTTTGACACTAATGTTTGCCTTTTGTTTGTCTTGTGGGTCTAGTTTTCCAACAGCTTAACTCATTAACTCAATGCTTTGACTTGTGAGGAGGAGGTGTTTCTATCTGGCTCGTTAAGATAATTGCATTAATACATGTTTCTGTACGTGTGTCTGTTCGTCGCTTTTCTCGACAACCGTTCATCTGATCCACTTCACACTTGGCATCGCTGAGAACCCGAGGAGGTGCACTGCTCAGCGTGAAGCCATTCGGACGGTTTGTTTACGAGAAACATAAAAGGAGAAACATTAATGACTTCAGTTTGAGGCGACTCATGGCTGTAATTATTTCCAACTTTGTCGCGTCACAAAGGTGGTCAAAGCATGGACCTCCCAGAGAACTAATAAAAGTCCAGTTTATGCTGCCAACGCATCAGATGCAGGATAAGTTACGCAGCAGGTTTGTAATTTTGTTTCTCTAAATGCAAAGTTGTTTTCTGTCTTGTGTAACTATTAGCTGTAGCTAATGCTAATATGCTAAATTAGGGGTCTGGCTGCAAAAATATATATTATACAAGTTAAAAATATAAAAACAACTTGAATTTAAGATTTGAGCCTAAGATGTAAGTAAAAATTATTGTAACAGTGAACACTTTATCTTTTGAACTTAAGATGAAAAACGAGAGCAAGATGAATCAGCATGCAAACAACAGTCCAGTATTTTTGATATTTTAAGGATGTCAGTAGTTAAAGGACCGTTTGTACAGTTTGTGCTGCTACCTGTGTCACAGTCGGAGGTTTGGGCGGAACCGGAGGCCTGAACTTAACGGGCAGACTCTCGGTCGGGTCGACAGTGTGGAGCAGCGACGGCTTCTCACAGTCGGACTGAGGTTTTGCAGAGGGTTAGGAAAAGAGGCACAGAAATAGAAAAGGCTGAAAAGATGCTAGAAATAACAGACGAGAGAAGACTGCAGGATTAGTGAAGGGAAAGTTTTGTCGGATTAAAACCACAAACCACCGTCTAAACTCCAACAGGAGGAATCTAACACATATTTATGATCTGTGAAAACGGGCAAATATTCATTATGACTTTCCTGTCTGTACTTAGGAAAGATGTGAAATACATTTGTCTGTATGAGGATAAGTAGATGGATAGATGCGTCTTTTCTTTTCCTTCTGCAGAGTGAAGAAAATAACCATATAAATAAAGTTTATAACCTATTAAAACTAAATCTACAGGTCTATATTTAACACATCCCTCCTGTGTTTCTTACCTGTGTTTTGCGGACGGTGTAGTTGGGCGCACTTTCAAATTTGGCCAACAGCTGAGTCGCCATCGACCGCACTTTGTTTTCTTTGGGATCGCGCTCGTCTCGTACTGAAGAGCCGTTACTGGACAGGTTGGTGGCCTGAAGAGAGACAAACAGACAAAAAACTGAGCAACATATATTTTTTTAAAAACATAAATAATGATAATATTTTTGCAAAGACAAATATCAACAAACCTCCTCCAGATAACAGAACCTCCGCCTCCTTTTGTAAATGGAGTCTGTACCGTCTGACTTCTTCTCATCCTGAAAACAAAGAACCAGAAAATAAGGTCGCCTGTAATGTACTCTGAAAACCCACTGACTGGAAATAAAGATGCAGAAACAAACATTTTGAGTTCATGGGATTTAAACACTTGGAGGCGGAGCTACCTTTGGCACCCGCTTCCTGGGCAGTGCAAGATTGAGCACGTTATTATTACTCCTGACTTCCTTAGATGGATAATCTTCATTGTTTTCATCCACTCCTCTGGAACCTGCAGTAAAACACATGACCGCATAAGAGCTTTTTCATATTTTCCACGACTGTGTACAGCCATAAAAGTCACATAGCATCGATGCCTCGCTCCCCTTATAGAGGAGGAAAGTTATACGAGTGGCCTGGAAAAAGGAGAGTTACTGTATTTGTGCGGAGGAATTTTCCACTATAACAATAAAGCTGAATCACTCGGCTGCATGACAGGAGCTGGCTGCAGTTAGATGATACAACATACTACAGGTAGACATGAAATAGCACTTCTGTTGGCAGCTGTACGTCGTCAAGGACCTCAGACCGGCGCTGTCAGGGGCTGTGGTGCAGACACACATTCCTCTCATGCCACTACAGCAGATTAACAGGACTCAACAACACATGCAACTTTTGAGAGAAAATCAAAATTGAAAACCATCTCTCTCACAGTTTGCACACACTGTAGTCAAACACAGCAGAAGAGCAGAACAGAGGATAAGACAGTGCAGCACCTGATGCAGGTAAAGGAGTCCCACGGAAGAGCTCGTAGAATTTGGACAGGTAGGTGTTCATCTTGGTTTTGTCCGGCTCCTCATCGCCGCTCAGCTCCTTCGCAGACGCAAACGGTCGGATCCCAAACTCCCGTTCGCTGATGTCAAAAGCCAGCTGGAGGTTTGCAGCGTGATCCTCCTCGTTTAGCGAGTCGAAATCTCTGAAGGTGA